TTTGTGGCAGAGCCCCCCACACAGTGTGGGGGGCAGTGGGGTCAGCGGGGATCACCCCCCTCACCAGGCATCAGTGGGATTTTTTTTTAAAAGGGTCAGGAGATGGGATGGGTGGGGCAGCCATGGAGGGGTGGCTGGGAGAGCAGGTGGGGGTCAGGGAATGCTCAGGGGGGGCTGCAGGCAGGGGATGGGGCCTGGCAGAGGTCCTCCCATGGTCTCCTCCCCCCTCCTCCAACCTCCCCTCTCCTACCCCTACTTACCAGCTCAGAATCTGGGTCCAGCTCCCTCCTGCAGCGGGCGGGGACCGCCTGAATCACCGAAGCTCTCTGAATCTTTCCTGAATTTATTCAGAGAGCTTCAAATCCATTCAGACCTTTTAATTGGTCCCCTGATTCAATGGGGATTTGGAGATTCGGCCACCGAATTAAGCCCAATTCCTCCAAATCAAATCAGCACCTGAAGCTTCGCACAGCCCTACTGTTTGCCTTTCAACAACTGTGATGTTTTTTCCCTGCATTTTTCCTTCGGCTCCTCCTGCCAGTCCTCAGAAAGTCAAAATTTAGATTGTGATAGAAAATTCTTTGCAAAAGGAGTCCTTCAAACCATTTCATCAGCACCCAGGTGTTTATTGAGAAACAAGGTTTCACCAGGAAAATCTCATAGCTCTGTGAATAAATTGTGCGGGCCGGGAGTGACCCGAGCCCTTTTCCGTGCTGCACACGGCCTGTGGCCAGCAGCCCGGGCACGCCGGGTCGGAATTAGGCACAAACGCTTAGCGGTAGTTTAAAAGATTGTTTACTTACACCGAGATGGCAGTGGTGCAGGCTGGAAAACTTGCTTGAGTTGCGGTTACAGACAGGAAAGAAGAGAGGCGGACAAGAGTTCTAAACTCGTGAATTCTAGCCCAATCCGGCTGAAGGCTCTGAACACGCGAGCCCGTCGTCTCAACCGAAGAAAGTACTCGTCCGAAAGAGCTCTGAATAAACTCACACGAAGTTTGCTAGGCTCCGGGGAGAGGCTAGAGGTTGATCAGACCTCTGTTGCCTGCTTCAAATGCGTTGGGTCCGTAAGGATCCGCAGCGCTTAGAGATCTTCACACAGCGTGAAGTCTCCTCCTCCCTTGTTCGTGGAGTCCTCCAACTTGGGCGGAAACCACTCAAGCTTTTTATATGGCTAGCAAGCCAATCACTAGCCGCCACGTGTGAATAATTTAGAACTGGCCAATAATGGGGCTCAAATTAGCATACAAATGGCGGGAACTCTTTGCAGCGAGCATTTCTGTGCTGCAACAAAGAAATGCACCCTTCAAAGAAAGCTTCAAATTGGCGGGAAACTCGTCCCTTGCACCGGGGTTCTCTTTTGCAGCAGAAAACTCCACCGTGCAAAGAAGCTGTAATTTAGCGGGAACAATTTAGCAGTGCCGAAGCACACAAAAACAAAAATCACACCCTTTGGGTTGTGACATAAATAAGAACAGTTAAGGAGGAGATTGTCTGCTCAACTAGTTCTTTAAGCATCCACAACCGTAGATGGGCAGGGCACTGAAGTCTGCAGAATGATATTCCCATCAGATAGGCTGCAGTACTGTAGGGAAGGGCCTGGGGGTAGTAGTGGACCATGAACTGAACACAAACCAACAGTGTGCTCTTGTTTAAAAAATGAAACGACCACATATTGGGTTGTATTAACAGGAGTGTCACTTGGAAAATAAAGGGAAATGATTCATTCACTCTATACAGCCCTAGTGAGGCCTCTCCTAGAGAATGGTGTCTAGTTTGGGGCTCTATGAAAGGTGTGGACATATTGGAAAGAGCAACGCAAATGATTAGAGGCCTGAGACGCATGACTTATGAAGAAAATCTTAAAGAGCTAGGTTTATTTAGTCTGGAAAAGGACAACTGAGGAGAGACTTAATGACAGTCTTAAAAAAAACCTGAAGGGTGATTATAGTGAGGATGGAGATGTCCTTTACTCTGTGACTGTAGCGGACAGAAGTAGAAGCAAGGGTCAGCAGAGGAAATTAAGGTTGGAGATTAGGAGGTACTTTTTGACTGTGAGAGTGGTCAAGCACTGGACTATCTAGAGAAGTTGTGGAATATCTGTCCTTGGAAATATTCGAGAACAGGTTGGGCAGACACTTGTTTGGGATGGCTTAGTTGGGAATGAGCTTGCCTTGAGCGAGGACCTGAAATAGATGTCCTAATGAGGTCCCTTCCAGCCCTCCTTTCCTATAATCCAATAACCCTGTTTCTCTCTCTGATTTATAAACAGGATTTATGGTCTTCATGAATATTTACAGCCTTCATAGAAACCCCTCAGTCTGGGACAATCCAGAGGTAGTTCATTTTAGATGCTACTTGAGACAGAGAAGTATTGTTGATGCTGTGATGACCAGGAAATATATTGAGAGGCAAGAGGCATGAAGAAGGGTTCTTTGTGCCCAAGTTTTCCCCAACATCTCTCCCAACTAAACAGTTTGTCCAATAAAAATATCACCCTCCGAACCCCTAGAAAACCAAAACCCTAGCCTCTTGACACTGCAAAGATACTTTTGGACATGGGCTTTCTATACCTTATGCATCCTCATTCTATACCTTACGCATCCTCCTTAAACACATTCAAACCAGCCTAGGCACAGTAATTAGGAGCAGAGAGAGAACCAAAAGTATCCATACATAAGACCAAATCCTAAAGCTAAAATAGGGATTTGGCTAATAGCTGCATCCTCTCAGCTCTTACTATATGGTCTCAGACCACAGCCACACGTGCCCATTTTAGTGATGTTTGAAGATCTGCACATGCCCATTTTTGTCCTAGAAGCTGGGATCCATTTCCTAATAGGAGGTGGGACACAAATAGTGACTCAAAGTCACTCAAAGTCCTTCTCAAGCCATGGGAGCACATTGCCTTATGACTCTAAGCTCTTGAGGGAGTGTTGCAGTAAGTGTGTTCCCTCTGTGCGCCGGGGGAGTGCTTCCATGTGGGACATTCAAGCACACACAACCAAAACATCTGCTTGTACATATTAGACACACACTTAACATCTGTGCACTTAATCCTTATTGGTATTTGTGTGTTAATTGCATTTAATGTCTACTCTTTGAAAGGAAAGTCAGGAAAGATTAAAGAGCAATGAACAGTGACTCTATAAAAGACTTCCCTCTTGATCTAGGTTGAGCTCATACACTTTAGTTGACTCATTCGGTGAGATTTGTAATGCCTGTACCTATTAAACTTAAGTTAACTTAGTCTCTTTAATTTACTTACAGGTAACTATATACATACATAACTGACTGGCGTAGTCAACGAGGCTCTCGGTCTCTACCCATGTCTTCATTCTACCTCCAGCCATGTGCTCCCCCATACAACACACTCTGATAACGTTGATCCCCACTTTAAAGTTCCTGTCATCACTATACATTAAGAAAAGCCCAAGACCCTGGCCACATTTAAAAGCTGAGCTACAATACCCATCTTAAAGCACCTGATATTTTTGACTAATGCAATTATAAAAATCCTTAGGTGGGAATTCAGTTGTAATGGGGTAAAAGTGCATAAAAGCAGTGCAGAAATATCTATTCCAATGGCCAGCATTGTAACCATAAAGCTGCCAGTGTCCACACCTGCTCTTTCTTGCATAGGAAACGAGCTGGTAAGGAGGTCACTAAGTTGAGTAAGCAGCTATGCCTTTTTGCCAAAGCAGCAACCTTGGCAGTAGTAGTGTGGAGAAAGAGAGGGGGCATGATAAGAATGATATGCAGGTCTAGGCACGTTTATGCATATAAGATTTTAGGAAAATACCCAATAATTACATGATTATATAAAGAGCCTGTAAATAGCTAGTAATAGCTGTAGTAAAGAGAATGAATATGAAAGTAACAAAAGGTATAAAAATTGTATAGGAACAAAGGGTCTTTGGGTCTACTGGACTGTGCCCTGAATGCCCCAGTGAGACCCTGGACTGTATGGCCAACACGATAGGCAGCAAGACTCACTTGCAAGGTAACTATTGTATTTCTTAGGATGAAAGTGTGAGATATATGCGGAAGAAACCTATGTTAGTGGAGTGGAAACTCCTGTCTCTTGAACATTATTTCTTCCTCTCAAGAACACACTGGTTCCTCTGCTCCAAGGGTTTAGGGTAACAGCATGGGTAGATCTAGGATTTTGAAAAGGGAGGAGGGTGCAGAAGGTGTGGTGCAACTTCCTATATAACACAACACCCCTTTTTCTCCACATAAAAAAAGAACTAGAATCCCTACTAATATGGTAGGGGCCTAGGACTATATTATCCAGTTTAGGATCAATGCAAAAATGAATTTAACTTTATTGGAATGTATGTAATTTGCTGGATTATATTTTACTTTTAAAAAGAACAATTAACTAGGCAAAAGTAGTCAAAGATATTGTTTCGTTAGTCCTGTAGCCAGTATAGTTAAATGTACATCTCTTATTCAGATTCATAAAACAAAATCTAGCCTTCGTGCGCATCTTGACAGTGCATCCAACACTTCACTGCCAATCATTTCTACACTTGAGTCAAGGTTCACCTGAGTTAATGTTACCACACCTGAGTTAAGGTTTTTAGCTAGAACTAAAAATAGACTATAGGGCTGAGAAACAGAAGAGAGATATTACCAGAAATGGCTGAGAAAGACCAAGACTGAAGAAAAAAGATCACTTGATTCATGAACCATCAAGGCTACTGAACAGGTGAGGGGGCCATCAGCATGTGAGATTAGCAGGAATCAGGTAAATATAATGAGCAGAAACATGTATGGCAACCCCCGCATTTCTATTCCTCAGCAAGCAACGCATATCCATGCTAGAAACATCAATCCCACAAAATGAGGACAACAGATCGCTGTTGCATTTGCTTGGACTCAATTTAAATGATAAAACCCTTTATCGGCTTGTTTTTATCTGAACTGCCATGAGATTACACAGGCAGGTCAGTGCTGCATAAATTAAACAGTGACTATTAAAATATCATTGCCATGTAAGCCGATAAGTACTTTGTCCATAAATGATTCGGGATTATGTGGCGGATAACAGCTGCCATCTAGTGGGCAGAAAAACCACGCAAGAGTAACAAAATCAGGATCCTCTAGCTCCCAATGAGACTTTCTTCTGAGCCAGCCCACAGGCTGTCCAATAAACAGCTAGAAAACCAGGAATTACCTGTCTTCCCCTCCCCAGAAAACCCTATAGGCCCTTGGTTACCGGTAACTTAGATCTTGGTACGCTCGGTGTTGTAACAGGGAGCTGGAGGCTCCTCCTATGAAACAGGATCAGACACATTGTAATGGTGGTGGGGCAAGGGAGGACATGTCAAGGAGCTGCCTGTTAGTCCTTGATTAGAAAGATGATCACCTGGGAAGTAACTGTCCACATGTGATAAGGGGAAAGCAGAGATAGGGGCTTACTCGGAAGCCATGGAGGTGGCAAAGAAGTGGAAAGTAGAGTGAAGCACAGCTGTGGGAAGAAGCTCTGTGGAGGAATGGAGCCTTTTCATGAGGAGGGCAAAAGAGGCAGGCATCATTGAGGAATCCCAGTAGGGGACTGGACTTTAGGAGCCCAGCAGTGAGAAGCCCAGGGGCAAGTTGCCCAAATGGTCTTCATTTGCCCTAGTAGACTAGCCAGTTCTACTGCTGGCTGGGGACAGCCCAACCCAGGCCTGGATGAGTTGGGGACAACATACCATTTTTTGCTCTAAGGTGGGATACATTGTGTTAAGGCGAGAGCCAGATCTCCAGTTTGTTTTCTAACTGGTGGTTCAGGTTTGGGACTATCAGGGGTTGGCAGAGGTCCCAATAGTGCCTGAAAGGTATAAAAACTGGTAAAACTTCAACAAATGCCATGATGGGGCCGTGCCATTTCATACCAACTGAAGGTCTCTATGTCTGTGGTCCTCTACGGTCACCCACAGAGATGGCATTAGGGTTGAGGCAGTAAGCAGTGGGAAACAGAAGACTGGTGTAAGCTGGAAGAAGTACAGCATAGGTGTATTTACAATGGAGATCAAAAGAAAATTGATATTCTGGAATCAAAACAATGAGGGGGACAGCTGATGTTAAAATGGGGCTTCATCGGCCAATGAAAGGGATTACATGATGGAACAGATGGTTACACATACTTCTAGTCCAGTATCCTTTGCAACTACTATTGATACCCAGGTCCTTACAGCACAACAAGAAGAGAATCAAGAACAGCCCCAAGATTTTACAACTCCTTGCAATGGGCACCGGGGCTGAATTTGGCACAAACAGGCCGCTTAGATTGCACTGTGCCCTGTTGGCATGTAGAACCTCTCATGAGCATACGTCTCGCTGAAGACGTGATGTTAAAGGAATCAAGAGCAGCAGGTTACCAGTTCATTGAAAAATGGGAGGAGGAGGATGCCGTGAGCCACACGTGCATTGTGTGGAGTCAGGAAATGTTTCTCTCTCTCTGCAAACTTATCACATTTGCTCCCGTTCAACAAGTTATTCATTGCTAGTGTGTTCCCAACAACCTCCTGTGGGCTTTTCTACAAACCTTATACCATTTGGCATAAGTTTCCACACTAATTAACACTACCTAACTGGTAAGCAACAACCAACTGGGTGAAATGCCACTATTTAGTAATCATCAGACAACTTGTTCTGGCCACTTAGTAACTTCAAGGCCTTGGGGTTTAGTGCGAGTTTTCACATAGTTTTCATGCTCTATGATTCTACGTTTGAAAGATATAAACTAGTGTAGCACCATTGATCCACAGAATGGAGCCTGGCCATTTTATACCAGCTAAGGAACTTCATACCAGTAGACCTACTTAAAAACTTAGGTTTTTTAGAACTAACACACCAGAAAGAAAAATGCTATTTAAATTAAATGAACAATATTGGCACAGGAATGTATAGGTATAACCTAATAATGAATGCGTTTAGGCTGCAATTTAAAAGAAAGTGTCTCACTTTCAGAAGAGAGCAGCTGTGGAAGAGGAGTGACAAGAGCAAAAAATACTAAGTAATGCTAAGATGGATCTTGATAAGCTTATGTGACGTCACTGTTGGCAATAGCAAGGGCTTACACGCGTCTTCCACGTCTAGCTAGACATTTGTACTGGTTTAC